CACTCCACCTATGCCTATGCCAGTACTGGCCTCTGGATGAGAGGACCAGGAAGCAGCTAGAAAAAAAAAACAAGCCCTTAGACAGCAGCCTAGAGAACCACAGATTCTGGGCAGCCCCATCTACCATCAACCAGGTCCAAATTTAGCACCAGCTAAGGTGCTCGTGTTTGAAATCCCATCTGCCAGAAGAAAGGTTACCATGACAGAATGTCAAGTTCGAAGACAGAATTCTCTTTTTAAAAGGAGAGTTTTTTAAAAGGGGGAGGGAGAAAGAGGGGAAAAAAAAAACATCAGAAATGCAGCTCCCTCTAGTCAAAACAGCCCCGTGTTCACTGAAATAAGCTACTGAGATACTCATGTGCTTCTTCAGGTTCGTCTGTAGTTTCTCAATTTTCTCCAGTGAATTCAGGTATTAATAAAAGAAATTTCAACAACCCCAAAAGGAAAGCTGGTGTGGGATGAGACGCTGCTCAGATTTTCCCCTTGGCCTCCCACAGAGAGCCCATCTTTGGGAAGCAATTTCTGCCAAGTTGAAAAACCAGAATTTTGGGATGCCCAGAAAAGACTGTTGGGTACTTAAATAAAGATTTAAACCTGTTTCTAGCTCCTGCAGAAAAAGCCCACAGGGTGTGGCATGAAGAACCAGAGAGGCAGATGGAATGGGTCACTCCCTGGGTGGACTTAAAATAAGTGTCCAGGAATCTGAACAACTTGTCTGTTCTTATTCCCAGAGATGCTGCGGAAGGCCCCCCTCCCATCAGTCCTTCCTCTCCCTGTCTCCCCCGACCCTGGCAGCCACCAGCCTCATGGGCCTGGGCCAGGCCAGGTCCTGCCGTCTCAGGCTCCTGCTGTCTCAGACTCCTGCCCCAGCAGCAATTCTATTACTTCAAAGTTTTCAAAGTTATGATTCCGCCAACAGGGCTGATAGCTTATTTACTGCTGTCATCTATAGAAAGAGGAATTTTGACACATTGTTAAATGATAGCACATTTAGATAAGTCAAGCTGTCAGAGGCTCTAATGGATGTCTAAACTCTCTGTGGCTGATATGTAAAATTTATGCACTTCAGAATATCATAAGGTTATAATATTTTAATCACATCCACGCTCTTTTCTAAACTTTGAGCAGGGAAAAACATTCCATCAAGCACCATCTCACTTCCCTGCCTCAAGAGAGTGTGCCCTCCTGGAAGTTTCTGCAAACCCCTTGGACAGGTGCAGCTTCTCTTGCTCATCCTGTGGGTCTTGCTCCTAACTTCAGGCACCACAAGCAGAATTTACCTTTTCCTCCAAAACTTGGGCTGTGTGGTCCCAGCAGCCAAGCTCTATCCACCCCCAAAAATGCAGATGCACAGCTGGACCGCATGTCCTCATCTGGACTGCATGTCCTCATCTGGACCGCATGTCCTCATCTGGACAGGGGACCCCAAACTCTTATTAGCTTAAGGAACCCTCTCCTAAGGAGAAGGAAAAGAGGGTCTGCAAGACTGAACCCAGAGTGTCATATTTTATTAAAAAAAAAAAAAAGTGGCAAAGGAAAGCAGAAAAAGAAAATCATAAAGGTATGAATCCGGTTATGACGATTATACACAGAAAAGCCATAAAAAAATACTGCATTAGTAATGTTCACCATAAAGCAATCTTATAACCAAATGAAATATGCCCAGCATTATCTTTGGATGGAAGTTTATTTCTTCTCGTTTCCTGAGCTGTTAGAAGCAAAGGGGGCTAAAACAGAGGAAGACAAGGCGGAGACAGTTTCAAGGGTACCAAAGCGGGCCTACGGGGCAGATCATCGCCTTTACCACAAGCTCATAAGACCCTAAGGCTGTTGACTGACCGCCCTCAGATGGAAACATCCCTGCTGTGCTCAGCTGCCCTAGAAGGAGGAATAACTGGACCACTTCCATATTTGAAAAATATGTGCTTCCAGAGGGCTGCATGCTGGCCTGGCCTAAGGTCACCTTTCTTGCCAAGATGGGTGGCACTGAGCATCACAGTCTGGCTTGGGGACAAGGGACCACCTTTGCTGCCTCAGCCACTTTACTTTCAGCAACCAGGCTGCAAGAAACTGTCCAAGCTGAACGACCAAAAATGAAAACCACACACCTTTTCCCAGGCAGCCAGGCCCAAGATAAGTGGGCCCAAATCTCTCAGCCTGTACAGGGCCCTGGGTGGGAACCAGTCCCTCCTACCTGCATTATGAGCCAGCAGAAGTTTGGGTTATTTCCCCTATAAGAAAAAGAGCAGGGAGGGAAAAATGAAAATACAAAAGTGTAGGAGTCATTAGCATTATGTATCAGAGAGGATCCCAGGCAAAAGTGCTGAGGCTCATAATCCGTTTCCAACAAAAATGCCACCTGGGAGAGCACCCGGGAGCTGCACCAATGGGCAAGGGGACAACAGAACATTTCAGGATGGGGGTGGGGAGTAGGCAGATGTGCAGGCCTGAATGTTTGCATGCCACGGCTGCCACATTTATTTCTCTGTTCTCTAGAAGTGTGCAGCCTTTCAAACTCCCTGGGGGACACCCCTTCCACTTAATATCGATGTAAATGAGCTACCCCCCTCACCAGAAGCCTTCATATTTTTTGGCAGACAGAAAACCATTGTTATTTGTAATGAACACTCCCTCCACGTAGACCCCTGCAGGGGGAGAGGTCTTGCCACCCTGTGTCTCCATCACCTGCACAAGCCTCCCCACAACCCCCATCTCCATCCTTTCCAGTTCAAATCAGCTTTACCATCTCAGCATCTTCTAAAACCCTAACAAAGGGTTCCCAGATTCAAGAGAGTCCAGCTGGAATCAAGATTTGGGTGACCTCAATGGCTCCACAAAAGACCCCTGAGCAAAGAATGAAGAGAATGAGGTTCAAGCACCCCAGCTCAGAAATAAGCTCCCTAAGTGCTGCACCCACCCCTCAGTAGAGAGCCCCTGCCTCTCCCCCACCACAGCCCCAGTTCTCTGGATTGAAAACGAGTTATCTAATGAAAATTGTGTTAACTGACATTCTGGCCAACCGGGAGCAAATACCAGTGCTGTAAATCTCACCGCGGAAATTTTTTCCAGCCCAGAATAACAATAGGACCCTGCAAAGGGCTTTCGCCAGCCCTTCTGGTTCCTCTCCTCTTGTCTGCCACGTTCTTGTCATTCCTTATGTTACAGAACATCAATCATAAATAAAGACGCTGTCCCCCAGCCGTGCCCGGGTCTCATTTACAAACATTAGCAGGGAATGCGATTACCATTGGCCTTCGTGCCAAGCCCAATGTGGCTGCCCAACACTCTCCCTCTCTCTTCCTTCCTCTATCCATCCCTCCCCCAACCCCCAGTCTTCTAGAAAGGCCACTTTGGTATCCTTTAAACCAGCAAGCACAGCTCAGAGCCCTGCCTATCTCAGCCGGCCACCAAACTGCAGCCCCAACTCGAGCAGTGAGGACCTGGAATTGCAAGGCACTCGCAGTTATTAACTGCATGCCTGAGTGCCCCGATTTTCTCTCCAGCTCAAGGCTTTGGGGGAGGAGGGGAGCCAGGAGTGGGGGGTTAGGAAGGAGGGAGACTGGGAAGCGGCCAGGAGGAGGGGGATGCTGGAGCCACTTATCACAAGAAACTTAAGGAGATCTGCAGGCAGATTAAAAAAAAAAAGTGGGTCCCTTTTTATCTCCAGACTGATGCTCTCGTGTCTTCTGCGAATGTCACGGCCAAGGCAGGACATTCTAATCACACACACACACACACACACACCCCACCCCCGCCCCGTTATCCGCACCATTTCCCCGCCCCTTATTCTCCTGCACTGGCCACGACTTTGAGACTCCTGGGCTTGGGGGGCTTGTCAGGGACGTTCTGGGCACTCCCGGAAAAGAACAGAAGCTGGAGCTGTGCCTCCAAGGTGGGGTACTGGTATGCCCCCAGCCCCTAGAGGATCCTGGAGGGCTAGCAGAAAACACCCCCAAATCTGGGGGAGCCACACAGCCTTACAGGAAGGAGAACAGGGTTACTGGGGTTCTGGAGGGAGTAGTCCTAGGAAAGGAAAGGTAAAAAGAGAGGAGGAGAAAGAAAGAAAGAAAAAAGAAGAGGCTGGAGAACGGAGAAAAGAGGAGAGCGGCGGGGAGGAGAAGCAGCAGGCAGAAAAGGGCGAGGGAATCTCCCATTTAAAAGTTCCCATGGGCCCAAGAGCAGGGAGTCACCTGCTCTGCACCGCTCCCGGCTTTGCACCGCCCGGGAGGCAGGAGCGCAAACTTGCGCACGCCTGGGCCCAACACCGCCTGTTTGTACCTAGACTTGGGAAGGGGACAGAAGCGGGGAAAAGCAAGAAGCAAAGACGAACCCCGAGAGCCCGGCCCGAGAAGAGGTCTGCGGCGCAGGCTGCCAGTCCGGTGGCGGCGGTGGTGGTCCCCGGTTGGCGGCGCGTCCGGGCTGCGCAGCCAGGAGGGCGGCAGCGGCGGTGGAGGTGCCGGCGGGCGGCGGGGCGCGAAGCCGCCTCCTCGCCAACCAGGCTGCCTCCTCCTCTCTCCTCCTCCTCCTCCTCCTCCTCCTCCTCCCTGCCCGCCAGCTCCCTCCCTCCCTCACCGAGCCCCAGCCGGGCGCGGACAGGCACACGGCGCGCTCCGCGGCCTCCCCCGGCGCCGCGAAGTTGGGAGGCGCGCAAAGTGCGGCGCTCTGGGGGCGGCTGGGGGTCCCGCCGGCAGCCCCCAGCCGGGGCCGCAGCACCCGCCTCGTTCGGCCGTTCGGCCGCCAGCTCGCTCCCTCGGCCGCGGGCTCACTAGCGCTTCTCCATGGTCGCGGCGGCTAATCGATGATTGAACCGAACAAAGAGCAGCGGCGAGATCAATTCCTAATACCTATCGATGGGCAGCGGGCAGCCGAGCCCTAGCGAGCCCCAGCAGCCGCCGCCCGCCGCCCCGGGGCGCCCGCCCGCCAGCCCGGGGACCTCCCCAATGCGCCCAGGGCGCGCCCGGGTTCCCCACAGCCGCGCGGCCGGCGCTGCCCGCACTAACCTGGAGTCGCCGTAGATCAAATCGCTTCCAATATTGAAACATCGATCCCACATTGGCGGCCATCTTGGGGGCTATTCGAGACGCGCACACACAAGAGTTTGGCTTTTCTCAATGGCTGCACTCAATATCCGGGCTGGACTCCCCCCAGCCTGGGGGCCGCCGGCGGCCGCCGGGGCCCCGCGTGCCGCCGCCCCGGGCCCCTCGGGCGACCCCCGGCCTCCTGCCACCCACTGCCCCTCAGCGTCGCCGCTGCCGCCACCGCCACCGCCGTCGCTGGGCCCCTGAGCCGTGCGCCCCCCCCGACCCCCGGAGGGCGCGGGCGGAGCGCGCCTGGCGGGGAGCTTGGTGCCCGCCCCAGGGAGGCAGCCGGGGATGGGGTGGAAGGGGAGGGGTGGGGGAGAGGCAGCCTCTCCGGGAGGCGCCGGCGCCGCCGCTGCCCTGCCTGCAGCCGGCTCCCGGCCCCGCGGAGCGCTCGCTGCATCCCCCCCCCCCAAGTCCGGGGTCCGTGTGCCGCGCGATTGCACTTGACTTTGGCTTTTTGCAAACTTATCAATACTGACGTAACGTGCTGATCAATGCGAAGGGAAGTTTGGGGAGGGGGGGCTGCGGAAGGGGGAACAGGCGTGTGGGGCACCTACTCCCCCCTGCACCTGCCCGCCTGCTCTCAGCATTGCATACTTAAAAAAAAAAAAAAGTTAATAGTTTGCAAGGCATTTTTTTCCTTTTGCAATGGGAGCACAGACAACACGCGCCTTGGGCTGCTCCTCCGCCAGCTAAGCTTAGGATCCAAGGGGTCGCAGTTTGAACTTGGGGTTAAGTAGACGCTCCAGCGGGCTGGCGGGTGGGAGCCGCCCGGGGGCGCCACTGAGTCATGGGAAATGTTACCGCCTCCCGCAAGCAGTCTTAAGGCCATTATGTGGTTATTATTATTGGGGGGGGGGAATGTTTTCCATAGCTGGGCGAAGGGGAGAGTCAGGTCCTTTACAACAGGGATTCCTATCATTGTTATTACTTAGGGGATCTGCAGTCCAATTATAAGAGCTCCTCACAACTCTGCAATGGGAGGCCCTTTTACAGTAGTGATTATTATTGGAGGAGGTTCTTAGCCAACCCTCTGGAGGGCCTTGTCCCCTGGCGTGCTGTCGATCATTATTGTTATGATCTTGTTGAGGGGCCCTAGCCCTGCTGTGAGGGCTGTGAATCCTTAATGGTTATGGAGGTTGTGCTATTGTTATCGTTATTATTATCCTAGCCTAGTTGGGGACTCTAGGTCCTTTGCAACATGGAGTGCCTTTATTAAAACTGTCTTGGGGGGGGGGGGTCTTTAGACCTCTAGGGAAAGGTTCTGGTTCTCCTACAATTCCTCTGACTCTGAACAACAGGAGTGACCAGGTTTCTTGTTTTGCATTTTCCCCTCCCTTTTTGCTTCCTTGCAAGCCAGAGATTCCCAGTTCCCTCCCAGAATCTCACCTCCAAGGAGAAGCTGATACTCTCACCTCCCTCCATCACCAAATCATTTAAAAATATCCCCTAACCTTGGGGTCATCTTCCTTTCATTAAATGCCCCTTCCTCAACTACTCCACCACCTCTACCCAAAAGGGGAGGCATTTTTTCCTTTTGCTCTGATCAAAACATTTGGTTTTATGGACAGCAAATGGAAATTATATTCTCTTTTTATGACCCAGCTTGGACTTCTGACATCACTCTTGGTCTGGGACAATAGATCAATACAGCAGGTTATAAAAAAGATAAAGTTTAGAAGAGTTGTAAAGGAGAGAGAATCATGATGGATATTTTTGATGATTTTCCAATATTTGTGTCTAGCAGCACGTGCTTCAAGGCAATTAAAGTTTTTAATGTAATGTAAATAATTGTTTCATAAATGCTTTAGAAGAAGGTGTGTGTGATCTTTCTGAGCAATCATTGAGCTGTTTAAAAAATGTACTGTGATTTAAACAAGGATATGGTATTTCTGTTGCCATCCCCATACATTTTCTTTGAGGTCTGGGCAAATATATTAATGCAGGAGTTGAAAGACTCATAAGACCAAATGTACAGGGCTCACCAAGATGTAATGAATTAGGCCTAGTTAGCAATTCCGAGTGGCCTGTTTCCCTGCCAGATTAAATTGCACGTGATGCGTGGTTTATCTCAGCTCTTGATAACTCCAAGTTTAAATTACAGCTCTCATTCTGCAAAATGAATTTAGGGAAATTTCATAACTATCGCATTGCAATTTTTTTAAATGGCTATATTTTCCCGTGAGCATCTGTAAAGCTTACAGCTTCCCTGTCTTTGAGTCTGTTTTTAAAAGACCTATAATAAAACATCTAGAATGAGTATGAAACCCTTCCAAGCAATGTTTAACAAACCAAGCTTTTTATTATAAGTTTGGGTTGTATTGTTTAGTTTAAAGTATTGGGGACTGAACCCAGGGGTGCTCTATCACTATATCCCCAGCCCTTTTTATTTTTTATTCTGAGACAGGGTCTCACTAAGTTGCCCAGGCTGGCCTTGAACCTGGAATCCTCTTGCATCAGCCTCCTGAGTAGCTAGGATTACAGGTGTGTACCACCATGGCTGTAAAATAAAAGATTATTTAACATTTGTCTGACTTTGCAGGAACAGGACATAATGACATCATGTACCTCCTGATATGATATACCTAGAAGGACATGCCACTTCTGTGATATTCTCAACAAAAGCGCATAATCCGAATCTAAATGTGGAGAAATAAGACAACCCCAAATGGAGGGAACATTCTACAAAATAAACAGCCTGTTCCCTTCAAAAATGTCAATGTCACATTAAGCACACAGAAAGACTGAGGAACTATTTCAGATTAAAGGAAGCTAAAGAGATTTAACAAGTGATTAAAACCCATGAGTGGGGGTTTTTTCAACAAAGTGCATTAATTAGAGCCAAGGGCAAACTTAGAATAAAGCAAATAGATTAGATAACAGTATTGTATCAATGTTAATTTCCTGATTTTGATCATTGTACTATGGCTACGTAACAAAATATCCTTGTTTTCAGAAAACACACAAACGAACGTACTTAGGAATAAAGGGAGAGACCACCATGGATGTGATTAACTCATATACTACAGATGAAAATAATATCTACCTATCTATATAGAAAAAGTGATACACAAATTTTGCAAAATGTTAACATTTGCAAATTCTAGGTGAAGAGTGACAGCTATTCTTTATACTTTCCTTGCAACATTCCTGGGAATCTGAAATTATGTCAAAATTAAAAGTTAAAAATAAAATATAAATCTAGATCTGATTTTGTTTCATCTATTAAGGACCAGTGGTCCTCCAAATAAAAATTCTGCATGGAACTTTCCTACTTTCCTGACTGAGGTAGCCTGCACCTTTGACCAAGAAGGAAATTGCCACAGCAAACATGCTTACCACAGAGCAGCGGGAAAATCCAATAATTCAGATTGTTTTAAGTCTGTGATATTTTTAAATGACTTAATGCAGTGAGTCTCTGAAGAATTCCAACAATTTTAATGGTAGAAACTTGCAGTCCCACTGAGGAATGGGTTGCTACATAAATACTGAATGATCGTGTCTTTCTGTCTGAGCTGAAACATATTAGCTTTGCTTAGTGGCTTATTGCTTTATTCACAAAATAAATTTCAGCCGTCTCTCCCCACCATATTCCAAGCGCATCGTGAGCCTGTGCCTTATTAGATGTGGGGGCTTATATTCCAAAGGCATCTGTAACCGTCTCAGACTCAGCAATAATGAATTAAGCAGTTAAGTGTTTACCCCCTAATAGAGTTAGCTGGGGAAATGATATTATTATGGGTGGTCCTTAATGAAAGATAGTAAGCCAGGAAATGCAGACTTTTTCAACAGACAATGGCCTTGGATTTGAGAACTAAAAGCACTAAAATTTTAAATTTCTTGTGGAAAGCCGCTTTTCAGGTTCTAAGTACATTCTCTGCCACAAACACATATATACACAGATTAAAAAAAAAAAAAACCTTAAACGGGTTCCTGATTCCTAACTCTGAACGACCCACAATTCAAGATGAGAATTATGAAATTATGATGGAAAAGAAGTCACCATCTTTTGCAGAGGGCAGTTGGGCAGTCTATCCTGAAAGCAGAAGCAGCCAGAGAGCTAGGATCCTTCAGGAAATTCATAAACTGTGCAAGAATCCCAGGGAAGATAATGGCAGGTCCTTAGCCACAAACATAATGATATGCGAAATCCCCAGCATCAAAGCTGAAACAAAAGAAAACGTCCTTCGGTGGCTCTGCATTGCCCACCGCAGCTGCCAGGCAGGGAGAAAGACAACTTAGAGACTCCAATTGCATCTGGAAGAACCAACAACCTAGCAGAGAGTAAGGGATATAGGATGTCTGGTGGACACCTGCAAGGTGTCCTCCAGGAGGCTAGCCCACAATCAGGTCCATGGTCCAGGGCTGACAGGCTACAAGCAATGGACTGGCATTTCCTTATACAAGGTACTGAAAACTACTACCATTATTAAGCACCTACCGGTTGTTGGATGCTCTATAAATAAATCATTAGCATTACATAGTGGGTAGGAGCTGTGGCTGAGTCAGATTGTCTGGGTGTGAATTCCAACTCTGCCTCTTACAAGCTTTGTGACCTTAGGCAATTTATTTTACCTCTCAGTGCCTTGTTTTTTATTGTTGTTGTTGTTTGTATGTATTTATGTGTGTAACTGGTGCTAATGATCAAACAAAGTGATCCTCATCACTTTGATAAGATACTGTAAATGTAGTTTCTGCTAGCTTTTATTACTGCTGCCCTTGCCATGGACAGGACTGGGGTCAGTTTTCCCACAGTGCAGATGGAAAGACAGGTCCTGAAAGAAATGGCTGGTTTGTGGTCAAAGGGCCAGAAACAGGACCATATGTAGGTTCATTCACAGACAGGTGGGGCTCTTTGCACTTGAGGCTCCTCTGCCTCTGCTGGGGAGAATAGGCTGAAAAGCAGTTTCAGAAAGCTAGGCCTACAGCCTTAACCATGTGCCAACTCTCAATGACCACTCAAATTGCCCAGGAACAACACA